TTTTTTTTTCTTAATAGTCTTATGAACGTGGACTTGGCGCGATTTTTTTTACAGTGAAACTGTTTTTGTTCGGATTTATCATCTCCAACAAATTTATAACTCATTTTTAGCAATACATTCTTTCCTTATATATAATCAATTTTTATAATAAGGTAGAAGACCCAGTTATTTTCACTGGCTTAGTTGTTTGACACTTGCAATTTTATTCTAATTAAAAAAATAAAATGTTCTCAAAAAACCAATTATTTTAAAATTTATAATTCAAATATAATGTTTATTAAATTATCAGAGTTGATTTTTTTTTTAATTAAAATAAAATTGCAAGTGTCAATAACTAGGTCTTTTACCTTAGTAATGTTATTAGTAAATTAGTAAAATAATGCTATTAGCAAGAAATTGCAATTTTTTGACAACAATGAGAATTAAAAATAAGAAAAGAAAGGCTTAATATACTATTTTCCATTTTTATTAATTTTAGTGTGATAAATTGTTTATAAATGAAGAATTATAAAAAGTATAGTTTCTCATAATTATCTATCCTAAAGATTCGTGTCGACCAAGCGAGGTTAAGTCGGCCATATTGATTGTAGTATTTTAATAATGAGAATACCAAGTTTTTTTATATCCAGTAAACTTATTCCTATGGATAGTAAACTCTGGTATTCTTATTTTAGAAATACTTTTTTTAAACCACAGGAAAAAGTTTTCTAGGAGGAAAAAAACTTTCTAAAAAATGCTCAACGAATAGTCAATTATTCCTGTTTTTTTTTTTCCGTGTATATCTGAGACATTATCCGTAACAACCTTTCAGTCACCTAACAATTGTTTTATTTTGTCATAAAAATACCTGCAGCCCCCCCACTCTCATTAAAGATAACCATCCGATATTGTTAATGAGTAAATAACCTCATAAATTGTTAAAAATAAAATTTTATTTTTTTTATCAAACTCATTAAAATATCTAAAAATAAAACTTATTATAGATAAAACCTGTAATTCTAAAAAAATCTAATCATCAAAATAATTTGACAGTGGCTACTCGAACGCAGGCACTGGCGGCACTGGTGGCACTGCCGGCACTGAGAAACGGTAATTTGACCGTGCGCATGCGCATAAAATGGGTGAAATTACCACCAGTGCCGCCAGTGCCTGCGTTCGAGTAGCCACTGTCAAATAATTTTTATCCAAAATTTATCTTCTTCCACATAAATGATCAGAAAGTGGGAAGAAATTATTTTTGCATTGACATCGGAAATCAATGCACTCTGAATTTACCGTCAAGCATTGACGCTGCAGCCAGCAGTATCCGCCCAGAATTGGATAACAGGTGACATTATTAATAGCAATATGATTTGTCGTGCAGATACATTTTTTATTGGAGCATTGAGCGTGCCAAGGGTCACTGCAGTCCAAGGAGTTATTGCAAGACGGAACATAGACCGCTAAAAATGAGACAGTATAACAATGTATATAAATTTTAGTGCTAAGCTGAAAAATAAATAATTACGCTTGATGCACTGATGGGTTGACAACGGTGTGTAGTTTGGTTTGCATTGACACTTATTATTGATACATTGAAACCCGTCTTGACATTGGTTGTCTTCAGAACAAGCTCCATTTGAAACCGGGATACACACTTTGTTTTTCGATGTGTAATTTTTTTTACAAACAAATATTTCATCGTTGGAGCATTCAAATTTGTGTGAAACATATTCTGAATTATATTTACAGGACTTACCGAGTGTAACTGCGTCAAAGTAATTGTGTTTTTAGAAGCTAATTCAGGGAGCTACATAGAAAGGATATCTTGATTCAAGTAAAAAACTCGCATTTCTCTTTGACCAAAAACAATATACGCACTTGATTAAATAAAAATAATTTTAAATTAAAGAGTTCAAAATACACTTTACTTGAAATAAGAAAATTATTTATATAGGTGAAAAATTTTATTCCTTAAACCAAGAAAAAAGTTTCTACTGACAATTAATTTTTAATCTCAGTTGAAGAACACCTTATTTTTAACTCTACAAATACCTTATTTGACTGAAGATTTATAAAAATTAAAACAAAACTGTTGTGGGATCGTTAACCTTAGCGACAACAATCACTGTTTCCTTGCGTTGAAGAATAAGTTTATTGTTTCTAAATTTTAACAAAATAATAATCGTTGGATGGACCAAGAAAATAACAAAGAAGATCCTGAAAAGGTGAGTAATTTTTTAAATGTTTAATTAATAAAATATAATTGTAGGTTAAGAAATTTACCAGTAAGAGAACCCTAAATTAGCATCGGATTTGTAGTCGCCAACAATGGTGTCCAAAATTCCGATGTTATTCTTGACCCAACTGTTGTAGTAACTTCCGTAGATAATAAGAGCGATGAGATTTATTGAAAAAGCTGATATTGTTATTATATAAATTCCCTTTTATAAAATAAAAATAAATATTTATAATTAATGAACAATTATAATTAGGTATAAATTTTATTTATTATTACCGTAATATTTAAAAAAGTTATTGCTGGACTCATGAAACAATTGAGTAAGATCAATATAAATGAAGCATAGTAGATTATTATTGTTAAAATAATAAAAAATATTGCTGTTGCTGCTACTGATGCACTTAAAAATAATTCTTTTGTTGCTAAACCTGTAATTAATTTTATTATTATTATTTTGATATTTTTGTTTTTATCTGACTAGTTGGTTTATGATTTTTATTTTTTTGCAATTGTAAATTGAATATATTTACAATTTATTGGCAGTCTAGCCTATTCCACTTTGCAAATGCACTAATATTTTTATAATTTATTGCAGGTATTCCTTCCTCGCATAAACAATTATTTTTTTATTCGTAGAATTATTATTATTATTACTAATGCAAAAATTTTACGCTTTTCCCTCGCGGTTTTAAGAATGCCGTAAAAATACCGTAATTTTTCGGCATTTATGCTCATGCCATATATTTACCATAATAATGCAGTTAAACTATAGTTGTTTTGGCCAGTTTTTATACTGTAAATATCCAGTATATATACTGCACTTATGCTGTACAGTTACCAAAAATATACTATACAATTACCGCATTAATGCCCAAATTTTACCCAAAAAATTCCAAATATTTACCGTAATAATACAGTAATTTTGCCGAATATTTTCTGACATAATGGAAAATTATTAAAAATTTGGTTTTATTTTTAGTTCACTTCTAGATTAGAAATGAATAAAAAGAAAAATTTCCAATTTTGCTTTTTATTTTCCATCGCTACTTTGCAAAAACAAATACTGTTTTTGAATAAATACTATGTAGAATATTATTTTTTAATTAGGTATTTAGCGGTAATAAATATAAAAGAAATGCATATGTTAAGTAAATATATTCTAATTTCAATTTCAATTTTTAATTTCTCACTTAGAAAATTGCAAATTTTCTAAAATCGAAAAGTTACATTGTTTCACATATATAATTATATTATTTAATTTTAAATATGCTTATCGTAAGATGGACGGTATGGCTTAATGTATATAGAATAAGCAAAAAAAGAATATGGTACAGGTCAGGTAGCTCAAATGGTAGAGTAGCCGACTTGTCCTCGGGAGGTTCTGAGTTCGAATCCCAGTCTGAGCTTTATTTGATTTTACACCATTTTTTAAATATGGTTTTAATACAGTCATTTTACCGCCTTATTACCATAAATATGCCGCATTTTTAGCGTAAATATTTCGTATTTTTACGGTAAATGTTCCGTAATATTTCGATGAATAAACTGTCCAAAACAACCGAAAAAATACCGCATTAATACTGTATAACTGCGACATTTTTTCGGCATTTACAAACCCGCTAGGGAATTATTATTATTGATTTATAATAGTATTAAATTATAAATATTATAGTCAATTACCGTTAAGATAATTGTAATCAGCTGATCGCGTGGTAACTAAACAAGAAAATGGCGTCTCTTGCCCAAGGAACAACGAAATGGCTTCCTTTTTTCTTAACCCATTATATTGTTGGCAGCTCCAAATACAAATATTCTCATTAAAAATACAAGTAACTAAAAAATACAATAAATAATTGATTATTTAGTTATTTTAATAATAATAATAATAATAAATACTTACAATAAATTTCATAAGATTTAGGACTAAGTAAAATTCTCCTAACCAAAGTTCCGCTAAATAATCCGTAATTAATATTAGAATCTTGAACGTCTGAGATATTAAACTTAACCGCCTTAGCGGTTCCGTTGATCCAGAAATCCGTGGATAACGAAATAGTTCCAACAATAGCACACACTAGAGATACAGCTGCACTCCACTGGAGGTAATTAACATGTTCTCGCTTCATTAACATCCTAATTAATTATTCAATTATAAAAGTATAAAAATAATAATTAATAATCACTTTTAATTTTATAACTAGTTGTCTGGAGCCCTAGGACTTATCTACTGATAAAACAGCGATTGTTGTTAAGGTAATATATTTTTATTAGATAAATAAAATAAATAGTAAAATATAATTTAATCGTCAGGTATGAAACAAATTTATGAAGTCTACCATAAGATAGATGAATTTTTTCATAATTTCTATTTCAAAAGCTTCATTTAATAAAATGTAGCTTATTAACATAAATTGATGTGATGAAAAATTGTAAAAAGTGATTATTACTGTTACTGTTTAAAGATATTGATTTAAATAAATTCAAAATTTTTTGTTAATTATATAAAATATTAAAATCAAACTGTTTTTTATTTGTTTCAACTTAAACTATTATTTATTTATACACTTTCTCAGAATTTATCGATATTAAAGGAACAAAAACATCTTTTTTTTTTTAATTTTTTAATATTTTTTAACTTACTAATTATATCTGATATTCCTATATTTTTTTAACTTTAATCTAAGTTTAAACGAATTATATTTAAATAAATAATTTTTTCTTCTTATGTTATTCTAATTACATATATATAAAAAATAATTGTTTGTTTTATAATATTCATATAACAAGAACGTAATTATTGATAAATGTTGAGAAAGTGTATAAATAAATAATAATTTAAGTTGAAACAAATAAAAAACAGTTTGATTTTAATATTTTAAATATATTAACAAAAAATTACTTTATAAAGAAAAATAAATAATTTCCCATTAAATAAGCGATTTTTTGTTTTATTTCAGTAATCAATATTTATATATTTTAATAAATAAAAACAATAAAAATTTTCAAGAAGAATTATTCTTATTTAGAATAAAAAGGTTGTGTTTGAATTTAGATTATATAATTTAAATTTCCTCCACCGCCAGTTACCTAAAAAAATTTACCTTACCGACAACTAATTTCTTACTTATGACTTAGAAAACTTAGAAGACAGATCAATTGTCGTTCTTTTGTAATGTTACAGTTCATGGGTTACAGTTTAATTTTTTTCACAAATATGATATTTAAATGTTTTAATGTGTGTATTTTATTATAAAGAATTTACTATTATTTGACATACATTAAGTGTTATGTAAGAAGTATTAAATGTATATAACTTGTTAAAGAGCAAGTTACTTTTTGAATTCCTTGACAATAATTACATTGGCTACATTTCCGTTCGGATCACTCAGATATGACCCCTACCCCGAATGGTCTGAAGCTCGCGCGCTACGCAACGTTGCCAAATGTTCTGACGCCATTTAAATGTAGGTTACTCAAAAATTTTCTGTGATTTTATAATTATAATTTCTCCATAAATTCCACGGCAACCTATATATTTTATTGCAAAAAATCAAACCTCAATATTTCGAAAACCTTATTTTGAGTTTTTTTTTACCCCATCTAATCAGTGGTTAATGCCATAATTCGAGAAAGTTGTTAAGGTCTGACTTTCTCGTAAGACTTGGGAAAAATACTAACATTTTTAGAAATTTTTTTTTCAAAAATATCCACGGTGAAGAATAAATTAAACTTCACTAGTAGATCAATAAGGACTTTAACTACTAGATAAAACTTAATTTGATGCATAATCTAATATTTTTTATTTAACATTGATGGCGAAAGGACCTCCTTAAAAAGTCCGAAAAAGTCTTATTAAGTCAGAAAATTTTTTCTTGCTCCAAAGTAACTTTTGTTTTCTTTAAAATTTTCTTGGCGCAAGAAATTTATTTTTTGTGTGTGAATATACAGTTTCCATAAAGTGACTTTTCAATTTTTTTTAATCAGTATTCTTAACCAGAGATTATACAATTAAATTTAGTTATCTAATTAAAATTTTCTAACGGGAATTAAATTTATGTAGACCTTCTTCAATAACACTTTTAGTTACGCCATCTGTTACTAAAATAGAAAGAACGCCAATTTCAGTTAGGTCGTGAATATTCCGATGTTCGTCATCGAAGAAGATCATGTCTTTAAAATCCATCCCCGAGGCTTTTTTAATCCTATAGAAAAATTATTTTATTTTTATTTAATTACTCTAGAGATCATTTTTAAAACAAAAAAAAAAATATTACTTATTAAAATGCGTGATTTTGCATCCTGGATAGATTTCAGTGTACTTGATATACTTTTCCCAGTTGAATAATTTAAGTAATTGGTACGCTCCTTTAATTTCCGAAGTCCTTGAAGCGACTCCTATCTCGATCCCTTGAGAGACTAAATTTTCCAAAATTTCCGGTACTTGCTCGTAGAATTTTATTTTTTTCCCTCGGGCGTCCACCACTGAGCCATTTCTACAGAAAAATATGTTTAAAATAAATTAATAATTATTAAAAATTAATTAGTTTATTAAAAATATCGTTGGGATACGAACTTTCGAGAAAATGGCGGAGTAACATGTGTGTCCACCCAAAATGGCCACAGTGTATAATCTAAAAAAAAAAAAAAAATAATTTATACTCTATAAATTTTAAATTAACTTAAAAAAAATCTATAAAATTTTCATTTATCAAAAATTACTTACCCAAATCGAAGACAATTAATTTAGGTTTTTTTTTTATTTCTTCTGACATTATTAATTTTGTTTGTAAACAAAATTACAAGATTATTTTTAACCCAAAATATTTTTTATAATAATAATAACAACCTTCACTACCAAAACAAACGACGTTACCTTCAAAACTGACGAGTTTTTAAATTATTTCAACAGATGGCGTTGTGTGCTTATTTTTAAATTTTAAATTGATCAAAAAGTTGAATAAATTTTTTTTTTGCTATAAAATTTAAAAATTTGGTAGAAAAATAAATAATTAATAATAATTATAGTTTACTTAACCTTTTTATTAATTTTACAGGTTATACAATAATCTACAATTAATAAAGCTTGAAAAAATATAATTAAACCTATTGATATTTGTATTTTTAAAAATATAACCTTTAAATTAAACAGCGCTTCCGCCATTTTATCGATGTGCGTAGTTAACAAGCTCAAAACACCAATTAAACAAAATCTAATTTATGAATTGTTTTAAATTTCACTCTAGTACATTATAAATAGAGTAAGCAAGCTTTGAAACCTATAAAATATAATTATTTATTGTTTAAATATTAAATAATAGAAATTTTTATATTACCTTAGTGAAGGAGTCCAGGGATAGAACAAAGAAGAAACCGCTGGCTATCAAAACAGGCTTGTCACACTTGCACATTATTATAACAATTGACTTTTTTATATCATTACTCAAGTTGAACCAATTTGTGGTGCATATTCCTCTTGATACACTCAAAAACTGGAAACAAAAAGGTATGATTATTGATTTTAACCTCTAAAAATTAAGCCTTGAAGTTAGTCGCAAAAAACGAGTCCTTATTGGTTGAAAAAAAAGCGCGCGCTATTTAAATTTCTAGTATTATTTAATTATTTTAGTATTTAGTATTATTTAGTATTTTTTAATTATTATTTCTAGTAGTATTTTTAATTGCATGATAAAAATTAAAGAGTTTATAAACTACTAAATATTTGAAATAAAATATATAAGAAAAAATAATTTTGTATAGATAAAAAATTAACAATGACCTTTATCTAAGGTAAATGCACCAATTGTTGACCGATTAAGGTTTTCTTTTTTTGTACTAAGCTATAAAAAGTCTATTAACCTACTAAAAAAAAATTGTAATGGATTTTATTAAAGTTAAATACTTAATTAATAATAATTAATAACTATTTATAATCAAAATTAACAAAATTATATTAATTTTGTTATTTGAATGTTGAAATACTAAAATCACCAATTATTGACCGAAGAAACCCAATAAATGACCGACCGTTCTCCAATTAATTCACCGCTGAAATAATTATAAGTAATTTTGTAAACTACATGTATGTAATTAAAGTTATGCAGTACTTTTGAAGTATTAACGACATCTTTAACAAAACTAAACATACAATATAATTTTAAATCGTACTTTTTTATAAAATAATATAAATAATAGCAATAATTAACATAAAGTCACATTTCTTTAGGTCACAAATAATCACAAATTCATTTTGATGACGATGATTCTTCTGATTCACTTGAAATTTTTTTATTCTTCTCCTTCTTTTTTTCAATTAAAGCTTTTTTACTAGCTTGTAACTCTTTTTTATTTTTTTAATTGCTTAGCAATTTTTTCTTCTAATAATTCGTTCTTTGATATAACCGTTCACTAAAAAAATTAGAAAAACGGTTCACCCTAAAGGCCATCCCTGCAACTTCCCGCTCATTTTGTACTTAAACACTTCAAACTACACATTACGTTTTTGAGCTCTTCGAGCTCAAAAATATTATTTTTGTGTCAATTTGAGCTCTTCGAGCTCAAAACTCTAATAGCAGTTTAAAGACACAATTTTTTGAATTTTCAAACGGCAATAACTTTTGAATGAATGAACCGATTTTCACGCGGTTGGCGGCAATCGACGCAGTTTTTGAAGCTCCATGAAAAAATTTTCAAGTTTAAATCGATCGAGCCATGAATTTCGAAGTTATTACAAAAAAACACTTTTTTCGATTTTTTTCGACAACGATATCTCACGAACGCATCAACCGATTCTTACGTTTTTGGTGGCGATCGATGGGGGTTTTCAAGGTTAAGAGCTGATTAGTTTTTGAGACCGATCGGTTCAGCCAATTCAGAGATATTTAAAAAAAATAAAAAAAAACAACTTTTTTTTTTCACTTTTTTTGCATTTTCTTGAAATCTTGGTGACCGGTCAACAACTGGTGCATTTACCCTATAATTTTTATCATTGAATATAAAAAAAAAAATATTATTAACTTACTTCAGAAGTCAATATATGTGCGCAGTAACACTGAAGAAATATTTGCAAATACATTCCCGCTAAAAATCCAAAGTAACCTAAAAAATTGATAGTCGTAACCTCTGTATGAGCCATTAAGTAAGCAAGCGTACAAAGTATCAGAGAACTTGATGTATATTGTACAAATATAACACTGGAGAATATTTTATTAAGATATTTAACCAAGCTAAAAAAAAATCACCAATTTTATTAATTAATTTCAACACCTTGCGGTGAATAAAAAAACTAAACAAAATTTAAAGAAGAAATATACTTGACAATATGAACATGAAATTGAACCCATTCAGCAACAAGACTCCTTTCCCTATCAGCGCTAACTTCCAATTTCTGGACCATAACCTCAAATCTGTGCCGGAGGATCCCGACTTGGGAGCGAAGGTAGCATATAATCCCAGCTAGAAGAAGATCAAAGACCAGGTCAATGGCAGTAGCGATGTAGACTGCGTACAACTGGAACAAGGCTGTCATCCAGTAGATTGTCGGGCTGGTGTAATTGTAAGGGAACCATCCTTTGTACGGCAGGATGTAAGGAGGATCAACAATGTTTGACCGGGAGCCTGAATAGAGTAACAGCGCTCCAATGAAGGTCGCCGGGTAGCAGATGAAAATTTTTCTGTAGAACAATATTAATTATAGATCATAAATTACAAACATTAAGGAGCACACCTAGTGTGACAGCCTAAAAACAAGTCGTTGAAAAAAAATATCAAAAATTGACAAAATGGCAGCGTTTTTAAAAAAAAAAGTTGAATTTTACACAAAATTTTGGTCGTTTTTGGTCTGCCAAAATTTTATTTTAGATCAGATCAAAAAACTGGTTGGTCATTGTATGGAGAACTATATACAGAACATACAGAAAAAAATTTGATAGTGATTGGATCATTTGTTTAAAATGATCCTCTTCTAACAAAAACTATTTGAGATATCGATTTAAAATTTTAGTATGTTATTTTGGAAGATATAACCTATCAAAATATGAAAAAAAAAATTAATTTTTTAAAAATTTCACACTAGGTGTGCCTCTTAAAGAAATAGTTCCAGACTTGACGAATCTGTTGAACTTCTGGATAATGAGTTCCTCCTGATGATCCCTGGGTTTAAATGGCGGCTTTCCCAAAGACTCAAGTATTGACTTGACAGCCTCGCGGTTGGATATCACGCAGGCCATCTTCTGGCGGCAGAGGATTATCACCAGCAGCAGCGCCAAATTGTCGACCAGAGCTTCTAGCTCGATATTCTTAAACTGGAGGTCCAGGGCACCTGAGATTATGAAGAGGTGCTCGGATAATACTACGCTTAGTTGGTAGATGTAATAACAGAAAGCTTTGATTCCTCGCCAGCCTCGCGGCTTCCAAAGTCCTGCTAGGCTTAATAGGAGGAAGAATGAGTCAAATATTTCCATTGTTGGTGATTTTAGCTAACTGCCGTTTCATTGTTGAAGGATTGTCGTCGTGAAGTCTGGCAGTAGCTTATTATTGATGGTATTATGAAAATTACGTTATTATGAAAATTGGTTAATAAGCGGAACATTTTGTAGTTACTTGAATTCAGAGGTTAATAATTTATGAGGTTAGTAGCGAACTGCGCGGAACAGATGCGCTAAAGTTGCGCGACAGTCTTCCACTGTTTGGTTGTACTATAGAGGTGTATCTATTGATCCCGAGGGTTGTACTTATATACAGAAAATGATTAATAGATAAATATGTCGCGTACTTATTTAAAGGTAAAAGGACTTATAGCTAAGGGTTAATAGGGATTTGTGCTGAAAGGGCGCATAAAAAAAATTGTATTTTTTATACCAAATGTTAAATAATAGTTTCACAAGACAAGTTATACTCAAATAACAGCTCATATACAAAGTGAAGATATAAACAAATAGAAAAGAAACCAATCAAAAACAAATTACGTAAAAATTAAGTTATAAAGAAAATCACAATGACCGATAACATTGAAATATTTTGAAATTTCCCGTTTTAATTGCCCTATTGAATATTACTGCTGGTGCCGTTCCCTCGCGGTTTTAAGAATGTCGTAAAAATACCGTAATTTTTCGGCATTTATGCTCATGCCATATATTTACCGTAATAATGCGGTTAAACTATAGTTGTTTTGGCCAGTTTTTATCCTGTAAATATCCAGTATATATACCGCACTTATGCTGTACAGTTACCAAAAATATACTATACAATTACCGCATTAATGCCCAAATTTTACCCAAAAAATTCCAAATAATTACCGTAATAATACAGTAATTTTGCCGAATATTTTCTGACATAATGGAAAATTATTAAAAATTTGGTTTTATTTTTAGTTCACTTCTAGATTAGAAATGAATAAAAAGAAAAATTTCCAATTTTGCTTTTTATTCTCCATCGCTACTTTGCAAAAACAAATACTGTTTTTGAATAAATACTATGTAGAATATTATTTTTAAATTAGGTATTTAGCGGTAATGAATATTAAAGAATGCATATGTTAAGTAAATATATTCTAATTTCAATTTCAATTTTTAATTTCTCACTTAGAAAATTGCAAATTTTCTAAAATCGAAAAGTTACATTGTTTCACATATATAACTATATTATTTAATTTTAAATATGCTTATCGTAAGATGGACGGTATGGCTTAATGTATATAGAATAAGCAAAAAAAAATATGGTACAGGCCGGGTAGCTCAAATGGTAGAGTAGCCGACTTGTCCTCGGGAGGTTCTGAGTTCGAATCCCAGTCTGAGCTTTATTTGATTTTACACCATTCTTTAAATGTGGTTTTAACACAGTCATTTTACCGCCTTATTACCATCAATATGCCGCATTTTTACGGTTAATGTTCCGTAATATTTTAATGAAAAAACTGACCAAAACAACCAAAAAAATGCCGAAAAAATACGGCATTAATACTGTATAACTGCGACATTTTTTCGGCATTTACAAAACCGCTAGGGATAGGTTGGAAATAATATTAAAAATTATTTTAAAGGGTTAGAAAATTAATTAAATTTTTTTTTTTTTTTTTTTTTTTTTTAATTTGTTTAAAGTCGCATAAACTACTAAGGTCATGAGCGACTACGGTAGGGGGTAAACTTTTGAGATTGGAACTCGTTTGTATTTCTTGGGCTGAGCAGAATAATACACTTAAATATTGAAAATATTCATTGGTGTACGCCGGACTCGAACCCGGTCCAATGCTTTGGTAGCAAGGGCCGGATCCGATAGGCTACTGCGCGCCTTAATTAAAATTATTTATAAGCTAAAACGATATTTTATTTATAAACTATAATTTTTAATAAAAATAGTTAATTTTTTTTTAATTCTTCTATTTTTTTATGGTAGTACATTGTAAATTGTGTATGCTAATTTAATAATCTGGAACAAAAAATAATTATTAAAAAAAAAAAATAAATTGATGGTTTAAAATAATATTAATACCTTAGTAAAGGATTCAAGATTTAGAACAATGAAGAAACTGCTGGTAATTAAAATAGGCTTGTGACATTTAGCCATAATAATAACCACCGATTTACGAAGACTATTACTGAGATTAAACCAATTTGATCCGTAAATTCCAGAGGTTATGTTCAGCAGCTGTATATTTTTATTTTATTAATTAATTTATTATTGTATAAACATCAATAATATATATACTTACTTCGTAGGTTAACATGTCGGCGCAGAAGCAAGGGAGGAACACTTGAAAGCATTTGGTGGTTAGAAACCCAGAATAACCTACAAATTCCATGGACAGTCCTTTTGTATGCGACATTAAAAACGCCAGAGTGCACAAGATGACTGAGCTTACAGTGTACTGGACGAATATTATGCTGGAGAATATTTTGTTCATGAATTTAATCAAGCTGGAAAATAAAAATATATATATTATTTTATGGTGTCATTAATTATTAATTATATCAGTATCAGTATCAGTATATTTATTGTTTTTAAGATAATAACAATGAATCTCATTTACAATTTGCGATTTGAGAGGCACAGTTACATATTTATTTACATATTTATTTATTTATTTATAATTATTAATTATATTGAAGAATACAAACGTAATGACATCTATGTGATATTCAACCCATTCAGCAGTCAGCTGACACTCTTCAGCGGCCATATTGTCCTTAAGCCGACTAATATCTTCCAATTTTGTGACCATAACCCCAAAACGGTGCTTTAAGATATGAATTTGCGCACAAAGGTGGCAAAAAACAGCCGACATTAAAGGATCAAAAGCCAAATCTACAGCGGCGGTGCTGTAAATCCCGTACATTTGCAACCCAGCTGTTGCCCAGTAGATCTTAGGGTTCGTGTAGTTATACGGGAACCACCCTGAGTAGGGCAGGTGGTAAGGAGGGTCCATTACGCCCTCACGAGAGCCTGAGAACAATGTGGCTGCGCAAATTATTGTTCCTGTGTAGGATATGAAGATACTTCTGGAAAAATAAGGTAATTATTAATTCCCTAGCGGTTTTGTAAATGCCGAAAAAATGTCGCAGTTATACAGTATTAATGCGGTATTTTTCCAGCATTTTTTCGGTTGTTTTGGTCAGTTTTTTCATCGAAATATTACGGAACATTTATCGTAAAAATGCGAAATATTTACGCTAAAAATGCGGCATATTTATGGTAATAAGGCGGTAAAATGACTGTATTAAAACCATATTTAAAAAATGGTGTAAAATTAAATAAAGCTCAGACTGGGATTCGAACTCAGAACCTCCCGAGGACAAGTCGGCTACTCTACCATTTGAGATACCCGACCTGTACCATATTTTTTTTTTGCTTATTCTATATACATTAAGCCATACCGTCCATCTTACGATAAGCATATTTAAAATTAAATAATATAGTTATATATGTGAAACAATGTAACTTTTCGATTTTAGAAAATTTGCAATTTTCTAAGTGAGAAATTAAAAATTGAAATTGAAATTAGAATATATTTACTTAACATATGCATTCTTTAATATTCATTACCGCTAAATACCTAATTTAAAAATGATATTCTACATAGTATTTATTCAAAAACAGTATTTGTTTTTGCAAAGTAGCGATGGAGAATAAAAAGCAAAATTGGAAATTTTTCTTTTTATTTATTTCTAATCTAGAAGTGAACTAAAAATAAAACCAAATTTTTAATAATTTTCCATTATGTCAGAAAATATTCGGCAAAATTACTGTATTATTACGGTAATTATTTGGAATTTTTTGGGTAAAATTTGGGCATTAATACGGTAATTGTATAGTATATTTTTGGTAACTGTACAGCATAAGTGCGGTATATATACTGGATATTTACAGTATAAAAACTGGCCAAAACAACTATAGTTTAACCGCATTATTACGGTAAATATACGGCATGAGCATAAATGCCGAAAAATTACGGTATTTTTACGGCATTCTCAAAACCGCGAGGGACATAACATTAAATTAACAAAAAATAAACTTCAAATAATAAATACAATTCATATCTCAGTCAATACAAAATCAATAATCTATTCCAAGGAATTCTTACCTTAAAAGTATTAATATTGACAAAAATTTTTTCAAATACTACAGAGACCCAACTGGCAGAACAATACATCCAGAATATAAAAATTTTTTTATTATTAATAATAATAATAAACTAGAGCCCGGAATTTCGCCACCATTCAAATGACTGTTTATATGTTTAACCTTAAATTTGAACAAATGAAAATAGGCCAACTTCTGTGCCCTAACAATAACCCTAGACTACTAGTACATCGTGTCGACAGCGGCGAGCGGGTTCGAATCCCGTCGGTTGTTAGAATACTTTCAACAATAACTATACAGCCCTAGTAGCAATGGAATTGGGCAAGATACTTGGAGAAGCACTTTATAAAGAATTGGACAATTCTCGACCAAGAAACTTGATCAAGATGATTCTTTAGCGAGACTGGCGGCAGGTTTGGGACATTCTGTGCCCAGAATTTGACCAGATTCTTGGCTCAGAGTCCTGATATAGACTTGCGTGAGAAACGCAAAAAACGACGAGCGCACACCTATTTTCCTCCTTTCCACTTCAATGTGAAAAGTATAATATTGCAGTGGTTTTCACTTATAGTTTAGTCAACAAGTTTAAAAAATTAATTTAGCTTGTTACGATATGTAAAAAGTTGAATTATCGCAAGAAATAGTAAAATATATTTTAACAGAATGAGAATTTTTACTCTATAGTATAGTCCCAAACTCTAGGCAAATAGATGGCCCCAGATTTCTGGTCAAATTCTGACTACAGTCTGGCTCAAGTCTTGACCAATAATCTTAGTCAAGAATCTGGACCAATTCTTGATCTAAAATCTTTCTAAAGTATCTTGATCCATGCTGGCACAAGGCTTTTACCAAATTGCTACAAGGAAGGAGGTTACTCCTGTAGCCAAACTGTACTGATATGGATTTTCTCTATATCATAATCCGAAGGTGAAAAAAAACCGAGAAGGTGTGCAAGTAAAAATAATAAATAATAAATACTTGGCAATTCCGTCGAACCTCCTGGCGATAATTTCTTCTTCACTGCTAATAGGTTTAAAAGGAGATTTTTTAAACGAATCAATAATTGACTTTATATCTTCTCGCTTGCTGATAAAACAAGCTATTTTCTGGCGACCAATCACCATCGCCATCAGCAAAGTCAAATTGTCTATCAGAACATGGGTATTGATGTTCTTGAACTCGAGGTCCAGCATTCCCGAAATAATGAAGATATGATTGGCAAAGATAATGCTGTATTGGTAAATGTAGTAAAGAAAAGCTTTGACTCCTCGCCAACCCCGGGGCTTCCAAGCACCGCCGATGCTCAGCAAAAGGAAACTTGTTCGAAGAATTTCCATTGTTTAGATTGCAATTGTTTAGTATTAAAGTTATAACTGTCTAGATGTCTTGTACTGTGATGTCGCTTTCTTTGAGATATACATTGTGACATTATAATAATTGCTATTTTGGTTATTATGCAAATTGCGTAATTGTACAATAGGAGGTTATTTTCTGGACAATGAAGAAAGGGTTAATAATAAATGAGGTTAGTTATGGGCTGCGCGGAATTGGTTCTTAAGGGTTGCAATAAGTCTATTGATTTTTAAGTTTCTACAGAGTACAATAGAGTTTTAGGTGAGGATTATTGTTGAAAATTGATTTTTTTAAGTAATTTAATAAAATATTTTTTTTATTTAAAAATTATGACAGTACATTGTAAATAGTTTATGTAAATTTGATATGAAAATAAATTTATTTAGATAAAGATTTTTAATTATAAAAAAAAAAAGGCATAATATAAAATATTTTAGTTTTATTATGTTAATTAAAGATCAGATTCCAACTTTCTTGAATAAATAAAGTTAAATTATAAGTTTTAATATTATTTTAAGACCGGTCAACTATTGGATCCGTCAGAAGCTCTTTACCCAGTAAAAAATTCATTCGGTCATTTATTAGACCCTCTGATTTTATCACAATCCAATTAATCACCGTATATTTATAATACTAACTTCTTAACCTCAAAATTAAATCTGTCAAGTGTTTAAAGTACTTTAGTCATTCAATATTTTGTAAATATAAAAATAATATCAAAGAACGAATTATTAGAAGAAAAAATTGCTAAGCAATTAAAAAAATAAAAAAGAGTTACAAGCTAGTAAAAAAGCTTTAATTGAAAAAAAGAAGAAGAAGAATAAAAAAATTTCAAGTGAATCAGAAGAATCATCGTCATCAAAATGGATTTGTGATTATTTGTGACCTAAAGAAATGTGACTTTATGTTAATTATTGCTATTATTTATATTATTTTATAAAAAAGTACGATTAAAAATTATATTGTATATTTAGTTTTGTTAAAGATGTCGTTAATACTCGTCAAAAGTACTGCATAAATTTAATTACATACATATAGTTTACAAAATTACTTATAATTATCTGAGCGGTGAATTAATTGGAGAACGCTCGGTCATTTATTGGGTTTCTTCGGCCAATAATTGGTGATTTTAGTATTTCAAAATTCAAATAACAAAATTAATATAATTTAAGTTAATTTTGATTATAAATAGTTATTAATTATTATTAAATAAGTATTTAACTTTAATAAAATCCATGACAAATTGTTTTTAGTAGGTTAATAGATTTTTTATAGCTTAGCACAGAAAAAGAAAACCTTA